GCCCCTTGGAGAAAGTCTGATACAGATGTGCACACCTGGGAGAAGACAGCAAACTCACCTGGTCACTGGGCTCAAAGCTTATCTCCTCCTTCACAGTTTTCATAGCTATTAGTTTCGTATTACTGGCAGGATCTGTCTTACTGTCCAGTCGCTCAAGTTTGGGGGTTATTTCCGGTAAACCAATGTCTTTAGTATCATCTTTATCAAGCAAATAGCGAAGTAGTGCATTCTCTTTCTTCTTGGGGCTCACTGGCTCCGGTTTGACAGTCACTTCTGACCCGGGAGCTGTGCTGCTGGACTCCTGGCTCAGCTCTTTGCCTGTGGCTTCTGCTGTCAGCTTGGCCAAGTCCACAGGAGAACTGCTGTCCTGTAAGAGTCTGTGCAAAATCTTATGCTTCTCCTTGAGCGAGGTGCCATGCGTGGACCCGGGCCCAGGCAAGCTACCTGCAGAGTCCTTATTTGTGTCTGACAAGGAGCTGGGTAGGGGTGAAGGCTCCATCTGGTCGGACTTGGTGGTCAGCAGCTGGAGAAGTTTGGTCTGCCCTTTGCTGTCATGCAGGCGGGTATGTCCCTCGGCCCTCTCCCCGCTGGCCGCCTGGGGCATGCTGGAATCAGTGGGCTCCTTTTGTTCTCCAGGATGGCAGCTGGTCTCTGCTTGTCCAGTTGTACCTTCCGATGGCTCCCCATAAAGTCCAAAACAGTCTTTGGAGTCCAAGCTTCCCATCTTGCTGAGTGGGGGAGGATTCATATTAACTGGGGAGTTTTGCAAATTGCCCATTTTTAGGTCCGGTGAAGCCAACGATGACCCTAATGAGACCCCATGGCCCTCGCTGAGGGCTTGCAGTGCATTGAGGGAACTGTTGGTATAACTATGGCTATTTCCTGTGCTGCTGCAAACTCCCACAGGGGAATGCAAGCTTCCTGCAGGGGAAAACTGACTGGGTGGGATGCGAGGACTGCCAGCCACGCCGGGGCTCATGCGATGCCTTGGTGAGAGCATGGAGGTGGGTTGCCCTGGGTTCATGCCGGGGCTGTTTTGTGAGGGACTGTTCATTTTGAGTGCATAGTTACTACCCTGAGGAGTGGTTGCTTGCATGCCTGATACATGGTTCATGCCCCCAGAACCACCAAACCTGCCCATAGGCATGCCCATTTGTTCCTTTGGGCCATTCATGGGAAAATTTATATTGCTACTGAGGGTCATGTCCTGACCTGGGTTCCCACTGCACATGGCCTGATGGGCAGGGCTGCTAGAGCTAATTGGATTCAATGGCTTCCCCATCGCTTGTCCAGTCAGATCCGGATTCATTACACATACATTCTGCTCTCTGTATAATAAGAAAAGAAACATATATAAGATAAAAGGAAAAATACCCAGTAAATTGTTATTAATTTAAAAGATGGTAGGGTCTCTTTCTGTCTCTGTCTCTCTACAAAAGCAGACGACATCTAAGGGATAGGTAATACTTGGATGAAAACACCTACAATTACAGACTAGACTGAACATGTATAGTTCTGGACCAAGAGGGATGTTTTTCAGGCAACTCATCAAGATGCCTGTGGTTTCCTGAAGGGGGGGGTTAAATTCGACTACTTCCACATTGAAATTTCAATAAGCAAATAGGACATTATGAATATCCCTCATGAGCAACTGAGAGCTTGTACAGTCTTAACGAGATGACCCAAATAAGTATTACTTGATTCAATCATTTGCCACAAATTCCAGTTCCTGGCAGTGGGCACATCTGCATGCCCAGGGAGTCTTATAGATGTCACATGGTTTAGGCCTTAGTCGGGAAAACCTTGCCCTGAACTGCTAGAGGTGGCCAGGTCCAGGCAATAGAGCGACTTTGATGGGTATTAGTTATAGATTCCCACTCCTCTTCCCAAATGCTGCAGGCCAGAGGAAGACAGATATGCCCTGGTGGGGTTCTGGGGTGGCACAGTTTGTGATTTTTATCTGTCCCCCAATTCTGGAAAATTCCAATCCATCTCCCTAACCAATGCTTACAAGCAGGTCTCTCAAGCCCCATGAGGTTCTGTTTCATCCTTGGCAGTTGCTTATGAATTACCAAACATGTTCACCGATTGTCAAACACCAGCTTCAGTCAGGGAGGGGGTGAAATGTGTCACCTCTATCATCACTTTCAAACAGTTTCAATCTGAGGTCAGACTTACTAACAGTTGGAAACTAAGGCTGCCTGACTTTTTTATTCCTGTACTAGAAAGACAAATAATTGAGAAATGCAATAAAATGGGACTCTTCAAGTAGAGCAACTGTATATATATCCTGGCGGCATCTCACAAAAGTGCCTTTTAGCAAATACATAAACACTTATAGAATCTGAAATTCAATCATTTTCCCAAATGAGTATCTTAAACAATATGCTCTATGACATTTATTTAAAATCAACACTCACATTTCTTTCTCTTACTATAGAAATGGTTACTACCACTCAATTTGAAGTCTAATGTCTGGAAATTTAAACCCAAGAACAAAAATCAGAACTCACCTAAGTATATTCATTTGAAAGTTTAAGCACACAGCATTGGAAAACTTAGTACTGGGCTTTAATTTTCCTGCTCACGCTTGTGTTGTCCCTGGGAATTTCCCTTCTTGAGTCTAACAGGAGGGTGAAGCCAAGTCCTGCATTCTTTTGTGTGAGACAGGGTTTTTCTATGTATTCCTGGCTGTCCTAGAGCTTGCTACATAGACCAGGCTGGCCTGGAGATCTAGCTGTCTCTGCCTCCCAAGCACTGGAATTAAAGGTGTGGCCAATTCCTACGTTCTTAACGAACATAAAATGCAAAGGGCAGCCTGACTTTCCTGGTCCAATGAGGTGGTTTCCAGCCAAGAGTTAATACAATCTTATTTACAGTTTATAATGCCATAGTACAAGAACAGGAATCTGTGGAAAGGCTATATGGCGGCATATTACTCTTGCATCATTTCTCTTGCTGAGGAAGGGAAACTGAGGCTTAATGTATGATTACCTGTGAAGCATGTGTAAGGATATTACAAGCTGAGGCTCGTTAGTCGTCTGAGAACGGATGAGTTTGCTTTTCGTTTGTGCAGCAACTAGAGTGCCATCAGACAAAGAAAACCGGTATATCTGACTGAATGCCAATCCTTGTCTCAGAACTGCAGGCAAAAAGGGGAAACAGAAGGCATATTTAGAAAAAAACTAAAAAAGAAAAAGAGAAATCAGGAAAGTGGAGTAGGGGAGGATTGTCAAGATGTTAGGTTTCCTACCAGCATGTTAAAAAGTTACAGGTCATAAAACATCATGATATTAAGACATCCATTTTAAAAGCACATTTAATTTTCACTCAAAATACCAACAAACAATGGATTTCTTTTGTATGACAAAGACTAACAGCTTGAAAACACAAACTGCCCTTTATTTTTTAAGATTTATTTTTATGCTGAGCTGTGATGGCACATGCCTTTAATCCCAGCACTCAGGAGGCAGAGGCAGGAGGATCTCTGTAAATTTGAGGCCAGCCTGCCTGGTCTATAAAGTGAGGTCCAGGACAGCTAGGGTTCTTACACAGAGAAACCCTGTCTCAAAACAACAACAAAAAACAATTGTTTTTATTTTTACTTTAACTTTTATTTTATGTGTATGAGTACTTTACCCAAACATATGTAAGTGGAACTGCAGTTACAGATCGCTGTGAGCCATCATGTGGTTGCTGGGAACTGAACCTGGGTCCTCTGGAAGAGTAGTCTGTGCTCTTAACCTCTGTCTTAGCTATCTCTCTAGCCCTTTAAACTGTTCTTTCTTAAATCATTATTATGGGGCAAAGTGAGTATAAACAGTTTATTAGCTCAAAATTAGCCTTTCTACTTAATGGTATTAGAAAACACCACAGCAACACAACCCCAAACTTGGTTTCCCCAAGTAGAATCTGCCTTTGATTCCCTTTATAGTGTAAGTATCAGGATGAGATTATGACACTGAATATTCATCTTGAGGTGATCTCTTCAATCCATCACTTCATACCCTTTTTCTGAAAGTACAGTAAGTGTTATTTGCATGCTTAGGCAACAGGAAGTAAAGGTAAATATCTTTGGCAGAAGAAAGGGCAAACAAAACTGAAACCCATTCGCAGACCTGAGCGACAGAAAGGAGCAGTGTGTGAGCATACTCAATCATTCAGGACGCTTCCAAACTCAAAGAAAACCTTCTAGCATGTTTCTATTAGATGTAGGTGGAAATTTCTGCTATCATTATCTGTTTCTTTAAAAAAATTATTATTTATATATTCCTTTTGTGTGGGTACATATGAGTGCATACATACAGTCCACCTGTGTGTGCCTAGAAAGCCCTAGCAATCTTGTCTCACCTTCCACAGTGTGAGTGTTACAGGTGAGCATACAGCCATACTTACCTGGCTTTTTATATGAGTTCTTGGGGATCTGAACTCAGGTCCTCATGACTGCTGGTAAAGTACTCTTACCCACAGTGAACTCTGGCATTACCCATTTTGTATGTCTAAGTTCAGTTTCCTTCCAGTGGGTTCTATCTCTCTAAACCAGGAAAAGCACCTGGTATAGCAATATAAACTCTCTTGTGAGGAACTATGAAAGTAGAGAATTAAATGCAGGGCATTCAGGACCCAAGGACACTGAGCATACTTGCCAAGGGGTGCGCTTTAATTTCTGCTTTTATTCCAAGCCATTATCTAGTGAAACGGTAGCTTAAATACTGATTTCTGTCAAATGTAAAATCTATATTGGTCCTTATTCTAACAGTAAGAACAACATTGAAAGGTACACAATGTTTGATTATCTGCTTAATTTTTAAGAAATTAGGGCGAATAAGATACAGGGGTGGGGAGCAAATGGAAGCAAGAGTACATTTACTATGTCTGTGCTTCTTCATTAAGTGGCCTCAAAAGCATAAAGCTTCAATATACAAGCCTTCCTAGTTAAAAAGCCAAGGTCACAGATGCACACTAAATGGATGACAAACCACAGCTCCATTTTCCACAAATGAGTTACAGATTCCCTTCTGCAGAGACAGACAACTGCCCATGCTGAGGTCTGAGATGCTTTGCTTGGCCATGAGTCCCTCACGTGCTGGGAGGCCCATGCTGACCAACTGCATGCTGGCCAGGTCTCCTTCCCCACTCAGGACTTCTGCTCTTTGTTTTCAGCTGTTTGAAAGGAAATTAAAATGTGCTTGAGAAAAATGACTTTAGGAGAACATGGCACGTGACTAGCAGGGTGGGTTGTGGTTTGCAGATGTCATTAGCTGATACTGTCTGCATGCTCAGGGGTTTGTCACTTCCCCTTCTTGGGTCTCCAGGGAGGAACAACGGGAGGGCTGGGATGTCCACCTCACTGGCTTGGTGTGGGGATTGATGAAATGACAAAGCTGTGATGTACTGAAAGATGGCTGAAGTGTTGGGTTTACTTCCACTGTCCTTTTAGTCTATGGTACAGAGCAGGTCAGGTTGCCTTTCTAGGCCTTCTGGAAACATCTGGAGTCTGCTGTTGGTAACTTGAAGGAGAGCTTGGGATTTATTCATGCCTGCAAATTTCATCTGTTCCTCCTTCTGGACTGCTCTTATGAACTGGATCTTGAAGTATGAGGATTACAGAGAATGACCTTCCCCCCTCTTTCTGTCCATCTTTGAGACATTGACACCTTTTGCTTTATTTCCTCAAGTAGTTTATTGGGCCAGGCGGCATCAGCACAGGACATAGAAGCTGTGAGGCAGGACTCAGGAATCTCTTCTTGGTAGAACATCCCCACAGGAAGCAACTAAAGAAAATTCCTATAAACTAGTGAGTAGAGGCCTACCTTCATGGTGATGCCTCTTCGCGTAGGACAGAGACTCCCCTTCATGCTGTGTGTGGAACTTCTGAATGCATCTCCTCACCAGATCCTCCCAGCCTGGCTTCATGGCAGCTCTCATGGTACTAGTGTCCAGAGATGTGATCTTGCCTAGGAGATAATGACATTACATTTGTGACAGCCATTTTCTAATTTCTAATTGAAATTCAGAAATACACAAATGATCCTTCAGAGTCATTGCCTGAATCTGTGGGGGATTCACCTGAGATTCCATGGACACTAACATACATGAGTACTAAAGCTTCTCGTGTAAAATGGACAGGAGATACACATGACCTCTATCTTCCTGTGTATTTTTTACTTTATTAATTAATTAATTTTTCTTATGTAGTCTGTTCTAATCTCAAACATATTTTCCGGCTTAGGCTGGCCTTGAACTTCAGAGCCTTACCCCCTGAATGTGCGATTGGTTTCAGGTGTGTGCTATCATGCCTACCTTCCTTCACCCAATTCTTTAAATCACCTCTAATTAATATTATATTAAGAACAATGATGGCATAGACACTTAATAACTTGAATCATTTTGATCTGGGGCTGGTGCCCGCCCCCCCCCCCCCCCCCCCCACCCACAAAGAAACACACCTGTGTCTACATGCGAACCCCAATGAGGGCAGCCTCCGGCCCTCAGCACTTCCATCCCAGCAGTCATGCTACCAAACTTTTCAACACTACCGGCTCTCAGAGACAGTGGTTGTCTTCGGGTACCTAGGTGTTCTGAAATGACCGCTTTTATCTTTTTTGACAAGAATTTACCTTGGAGGTCCTGGCGGGTGGTAAAGCTTTCTGATGAGGGAAGGGCTGGTCTTTCCTTCATGGGGACTCTTCGTGCCACACAAATCAAGCAGGACTGCAAATCTTAAATAAGACAAAGTTGTTTATCATATTAAGATTTTTATTTGCAGTGATCAAATCAACTCTCAAATATCTAAATCAGCACAGCCTTGTATATCAGTGGGAGTTATCAAGGCCCTCTGCTTCTCATGGGATTAACTCTCTGTCTCACTATAGTGGGAGGCAGCTATTAGGGTGAGCTGCAGCAGAGGGCAGATGCCAAAGCTACACAGTACATGTTTTGAAAGCTGACCCACCAAACTAGAGAGTAAGTGACTGGAAACACCTCCCCGGTGAAGACAAGTATGGGGTCTATTCTTGCTAAGTCACTGAGTATAAAAGCAAGATTAATTCATAATAAAGTAAACAAAGCAAAAGGAAAAGATAAAACTAGAATCTGATACTGTTGGTCAGGGGTTTGCCTCTTAGCTTCAGGTTCACTCTTAACAAACTATGTAGGTACCCGAGGATGGAGGATGAAATGTCAACAGGAACACAAAGTGCAACTGAATGTAGATTCAGAGCGCAAACTCCACTGGACTTAGTAAGTGTGCCAGAATCACTGCATTATGGTTCAGCATCTTGGCATGTTGAGGTCCTCTCATAGCCAGTGTTAACATTTAACCTTGCCCCTACTTCAATTTAAAAATTTTTTTATGTGTATAGATGCTTTGCCTACATGCATGCTGTGTAGAACTTAACACACCCTGTACCTGTGGAGTCCAGAGGAGACTGACAGATTCCCTGAAACTGGATTTATAGATGGTTGTGAGCTACCATGTGGGTGCTGAGACTTGCAAGAGCAGCCAGTGCTCTTAGCTGTTGAACAATCTCCCCAGTCTCCACTTTCACTGTTTTCTGGGGAACACTAACATGTTTTATATACCTTATAACACGCATAGCACACTGTATGGTGCTTTCAAGTTAAAGGCTGATGGAAGGGCTGATACAGAATAAAACAGGCTCTTCACATCTTACACCACAGGCTTGCAACTGTTCACCTTTAAACTTGGGAAGTTTTCTTTTTGTTTGGGGGGGTATCAAGAAATAGCTGGTATTTTTAGACTAAAATGTAATCGTCATGGGGAGTGGGGTATGTGGCTTAGTGGTGAGCACTCCCTACAATGTGTAAGGCCATGAGTTCAATGCTCAGTATTGCAGCTATAATAAAAGGAAGAGGAAAAAAGGAAAAGAAGCCCCCCTTTATGCTACATTTCAGGAACAGACAGAACCCTAGCCCCTTTTTCCTTTTAAGGTAAGAGTCTTCTATGTCCCTCTGACCAGCCTCAATCTTTCAGTGATCCTGCAGCCTCTATCTCTTGCGTGCTAGGATTACTGAGGTTGTACCACCTTAAATGCACTGGATCTTATCTAAGTGCTAGGATTAGAGGTGTGCACTACCATACTCTGCCTTGAAATTCAACTTTATTAGTCAATTAATTTAAAGATAGAGTCTGCTACATCTTAGGCTGGCATCAAACTTGCTGTGTGTGGCCAAGGATGACCTTGATTTTTCTGACTCACCTGTGCCTATCTCCTGAGTGCTAGGATTACAAGTGTACACGACAATGCCTGATTTTATGTGCTTTGAGGGACTGAACCCAGGGGTTTGTGCATGCCAGGCAAGCACTTTCCCAAGAGCTACAATATCCTTAGCCAGAATCCACATGTTCTCATCTCTAGTACATAATAGTGAGCTGACACATCTATACTTACACACCTTTTGAGTATCATAGCTGAGTCTACAGTGCTTTCTCATGTTGAATGAACAGAGTGAAACTGTCTGATGGTCACACCCAAACACAGCTAATTCTCATTACCATATATCTTTCTTAATAGCTCTTCACAATCCCCTTCTGATTTAAATTTTAAATTTAAATTTTAAAGGTTTACACATTTTAAGTAAGAAGCACTAAGCTAATATTTAGTGGCAACTATAGTTCAGCAATAATCCCAAGTCCTTTGTGCATATATGTGTGTGCACACGTGCTGAGAACTGAGCCCAGGGCTTCACATATGTCAGGTAAGCATTCCACCCCAAGTTACACCTTCATCTCCATTCTGTACTAACTTCTGATACTCTCACTGGCAATTTCACTTAAAAAATGATTAATAAATAAAAGAGAAGTGAAGGCATTTGTCCACAGCCAGAACTTACGGTTGAATTAGGGGCAGGCCTGTCTGATTACTCACTGGAGTATTTCCTTGCACTGGAGTCAAAAGCTTGTTCACTTCTGTTACTCCCAGAGTGCCCTGTAATTACTAAGGTTGTGACCAGACACCATGTGCTTGCTCTCCCAGGGTCTGTCCTACCTTCTCCTTCTTCTTTGATGGACTTTGGCTGAGACACAGCAAAGCACTGCATAGCTTCATACTTCTGATGTGCTTCCTGGTTATCATGGCCTTCCTCTTCTGAATCAGGTAAAGGCTTTACCAGCATCCGGCAGTTGAAGGTATGGCTATTCCGCCTGGGAGTTTCGCCAGACCAAGATCCCCCATTCACTGAGAGGCAAAAGGGATTACAAGGAAACAATGGGTTTAGGGCCGCTGAATCACTAAAGGGTGCAGGAAAAGCACAGGGATGTTACACCTCCATGATGCTCGACACTTTCAGATACTTTCATGGAACACAGTGCTTTGCAACTCAGAAACTGGGGCTTTTTAAAAATGTCTTCTTTACTCTTCTATACTTTTATACTCCTGACCACTTCTCTTCAAGTGCATGCCTTGACTGCTTATCACTAACATACAGAATACTCTATTTTTGGGTTTGTAACTTTGATTTCTTAGAGATTTAATTTAGTCTGCTTGCATTATGGTTTTCTGCAAGCACTTCTCAAAACTCTGCAGATGGTACCGACAGTTACAAGCATCAAGGTTTCTGAGAGGCCTTGGACTGCAGTAGCAGGAGCATGAGAGAAATCTCAACATAAGAGCCTTACTGAGAAGCCCCGGCCCATCCAGGGGGTTGGGCTGTCCCTTAGTACCACATGATGTCTGTTCCTGCTATTTCCACCACCATTTATCTCTCCCTTCTGAGATACTGCATGCTATGGCTGAGGGCTCCGCGAAGAGACACCCAGCTTCTTGGGCCTCCTCTCATACAGACTGCTGTCAAACTTCTTAAAGAATCTTCAGAGTATACTTTCTAATATGTCTGCTTCTGACCCCCCCAATTATAGCCTCTCTTAATTGATCCATGTAGACTTCCTCAGTGGGACTGAAAATCCTGAAGACAAAGTGCTGATACCGTGTCAAATGAAAACCACTTCCTATTTTAGTGTCAAAATTAAACATTGTATATATCGAGAAAAGAGCTGCTGAACTAAAGGAAAGGCATCAATGTTTTCTGAAACACATTAGAGAAAACAACAAAGAGACGGACCAAAGGAGAAAAGTGACCTCCAGAGAAACGTGCAGCTATCAGAAGACCTATACCTAGACTCACTCTAGCTCTCATTCTGGTGTTCTTTTCTTTACCCCACCCCCACCCCCTTGCCCAAAGGGCAACCTGAAGGAAAGCAGTCGATGGCCAGAGAATACCAGGGCAATGGGTGTCACAGTGGCTCCATTGCCAGGGCCTGCTCACAGGCTGGCAAAGAAAGTCACTCTAGAAAGCAGAAAGCCTAAGTCATGTTCCTGCAAGCCACGGCTCTGGTTCTCAAGGGAGGTAGCTGGGAAGACAAAGCTCATGTCACTATCAGCACTTGTGAAAGCTGCTCACACAATGGAGACTGCACAGAGTTATCAGAGAAGACAGGGACAGTTCTTATTAGTCCAGACTAAGAAGTACGTGGAAACAAAAAGAAAAGGCACAATGTGAAGCAAGGTGGAGGACGCTTTAGACAAGCGAATTGAGAAGCTAAGTCCTTCGACGAACAGAAAATTACTGAAAAGACTGGAAAATTAGTTACTTCAACTATGAAATCTGTCCTTACACATTTACCCGTGAAGGAAATAAAACAATCTCACACAAGGGCTCACCCATCTTGGATGACGGCTGCAGTCATGGAAAACAAAGGGTTTTATCCTCATGAGGCAAAGCTGCCCATAATGGCAGATAAAAAGGATCTCTCCCCCCCCAAAAAAAAGAATCTTTTCCTATTTACTGGTAATTATAAGACCAGCACATACAAACAGTTGTAAGTAAAAGAACACTTACCGATGCAGGCCTGACCTTATTCCTCACTAAAAGGTGTACTTTGTTTTATCTGTGTAGATACTGTTACCAGTTTAAGTGAGAATATTAGAAAAGAACCACTAAGCACAGACAGTGACCCTCCAAGGCAGCAGCCAATGCAGGCCCACACCTGCCATGTGCACTTCTGCACAGTGTCTCCAAAACAAGTGGGTATCAGGAAATGTGGGGCAGGGGGATGGGCTACACTCTGCAATGACATCTGCCGAGCTGCACAACAGACTAACATGAAAAACTGGAGTTAATACACCCAAACTGTGGCAAGCACTCATTTTTAGAACACCCTGTATGCAAATCATACACCATATCACACTCTTATACAGAGAATTCCATGAGAGACAAATCTTAACACATCATGACCCATTTTTCAGATGGTAAGAGAAAGGTGACATGGGTAAATGTTCAGACTTGTTATTTTCACATAGATTCTACATAAGAGCAACATGATCCTTCATTCAGGATCAGCTTCAGCAGCCATGACTCAACACAGTTCTATGTTCTCACTCTCACCAAGAAAATATGTGACAGAGGTAAGGGAGGCTGTGGGGATCAGCTGACATTTACCTATGGACTTTGGTAGCAGGTTCTTGACAAATTCCGTGTGGTCCCCCACATGTAGGATGCTGTAGACACTTTTGTTCATCAGCTCTTCCTGGTTGTACCTTAGATACTGTGTGACATTCTCTGATACGAACACCACATTGCCTTCCAGGTTCACTACAAAGAAGAACCCATCGAGGGCCTAGGGAAAAAGACCAACTTTATTAGAAAGGCCGTAACATAGAAACCATGCAGCTGTGATGATGGGAACCAGCTCTTCAAGGCAAAGAAAGTTTCCTTGCCCTTCTAGTTCTCAGAAATAACGAACACACTTTCTCTTGGGAAATAGAAATTATTCCATTCTAGTCAATGGAAGACAGGCTATAGTAGGGTTTCTTGTTAGACACCCCTCCAAAATAAACACCAAGTCTGTTAATCTATCAGGAAATAACTTGGCAAATAAACACATGCAGGAATGAGATGGAAGGATTCCACAAGGCTAGCTCAAGAGTTGTATCACCAGCTCATACATCACTTTGTTCCATACTTCTGCATGGTATGCCGAGAGAGGAAGGGGCCAGCAGTCGTTTGTTTTTTTTTTTTGTTGTTGTTGTTTTTTTTTTTCTTAGTTTAAAAATAAGTACCAGGGGAAATCCCCTAATTTATACAACTTTTAAAGTGGCCAGGGTTTAAGTGTAATCCCAGATGGTCCCAGGCCTTCACAGTGACATCCGGCTCCATTGTCTGGTGTATAGGGAAGGATCTGGGCAGGGTCTCTGGCATGGTGGACTCATGGGGATGGCAGCATTGGCTGAGAGTGCCCTCACATTAAGAAATGGGTACCTGAGTTATCTAAATGTTGGTTGCATGCATCCTGTTATGGGGCTCACTGTCTCACTCTGGGTGTCACTTCAGTCTAGATTACAGAAAGAGATGAATTTAAAACACAGGAAGTGAAGACAAATGACAGCTATGGGGTATGTTTACTCTGTGGCAGGCACACTTTGTCTTTTTCATGTCCTCTTTTCCAATAGTGGCAGGGCCGTTGCTGAATCCCAGGGGACCTTCTGTCTGCACTGGCAGTGATGGCTCTGAGTCCAGCCACTCCTTTTGTACTGCTGATCCTTGCTACAGAGCTCTGTTCCACAGACCTAGTCATATTCAGGACTTAAAAAGGCTGGACACTGCTCAAAGTTACCTGCCCCACACTTTCTTCATGATACACATCTATCGAATTTGTAACATAAACAGACCACACCTAGTCCCACACACAGTGGATATAGATGGCCTCAAGACTTGGTCCTCATGAGTCTGTTTATGTAAGAGGCTTCTGTTTTGTCAGTTGCTTTGGAATCATCCATTCTGTCTTCAATTCTATTGTCATAAAAAACTAGGTGCTCTTTCATCTAAAACTGATCCTAAGGTATAAGTGAGAAGTTGTTTAGAAAAGAAAGAAAAGGTAAACTAGGTGTGGTGGCATACTTCTTTAATCCTAGCACCAGAGCAGCTAAGACAGGAGAATTGCTGTGAGTTCAAGCTACACATATCAAGAACCTGTCTTGAAACAATAACAACAACAACAACAAAAAACCAACAATGAAGCAAAGACCCAAATCAACCAACCAAACAAACAAAAAACACCACTGCTTGGTTTTAGATTTTTCATAAATACTCTGTCAGGTCTTCTCTAGAATATGAACATACAGGGTAAATATGAACATACAGGGCAAAGTGGGACTACAAATATGTAAATGGCATGAACCAGGCTGCACCCACCAATGTACACAGGCATACGCTGGCAGGGGTAGAGGGAAGAACACATGTCCACTTACAGACCTCGTGTCCCCTCTCGCCTCACTGCTGCTGGACATCCAGCAGACATTTTAGCCTTTCCTCACTGCATTGCTAGTATGGCTTTTGAAAGAGCAGGCCACTTCTTACAGCTTGGTACCCTGGTAAGAAGGCTGATTTGTAGCCTAATGAGACTGAAAGATGAAAGTGGCTCCCCCTTTTAAAATTTTTTAAAGCTCACTATGATAGGCTCTGATGAAAAAAGCGGAATTTGCTTCTGTTGCCTAGCAACCACTATGCTATGATGCAAGCATGAGTGTGCATCTATGCCTAGAACAGCTCTACAAGAATATGCTTTCCCGGTTTAAACAATTACATGTAAACAGGGATAAGGTTTCAATTTAAACTATAAGTCACAAGGTTCAGGAACTTCTGGTCTAATATATTTATTTATTACTAAGGTTCTATAAGATTCTATACAGGCACCTGCTCTGTGCACTCAATTCTCAGAAGACTATTTTCAAACAGCAAAAAAAATCTTGGCTTGATTTTATGAGATCAGGGCTACTGACATCCAGCAATCCAATTTCTACAATTAGTGGACTTTCTCAAGGGCTGAGTCATAGGCTGTGGTTGCTTTCAGAATTTCTTTCTAGAAGCCTCAAAGGTATTCCAAGGAGTCTCTAGTGGTCTTTCCCACTCCCAGAAAAATTCCAAGTAAATTTCTGCTCCGAATTCAGAAGGTTTTCCAAAGGAAGGTGTCCACTTCTTTTACATAATTCTAAATAGTCACCTGGTTACAACCTTCGTACTGCTTCTAAGTACCAAGTAGGAAGTGCTCCACTATGGCTTCAATGAATTTGGAAAATCTGGTTAAATGCTGTGCCCCTGCGCACAAGGGCCAACCTGGGTCCAGCCCCAGGGAATGAATTCAGTTATTTCTAAATGCAAAGACTTGATGGGGCAAGCTTCAGTCCTCCATTTCCAATACCAATTATACAGTAGGTCCTATGTTTCTAAAAACTATCTTATGAGAAAAGGGACAATAAGGTCAAGAGAAGAGTATAAGCTCGATTTGTTTTAAAAATCCTAGTTCTTACTTCCACGTGGCTGCTGCAGCAGGCACACTGCTTCCCAGGCAACAATGCTGCAGCTCTGGCCACATGGTCCCTTCAAGTGTCATCAGCAGAGAAAATTACTCTGAGACTTGACATAGTTTATGTCTTAGCATCTCTGTTTCTTTATTCAGCGATATTTTTTCTCATTTTACAATAGCCCACATCTTGAATTTTAATTTTGAAAGAGGGACAGAAAAGCACTTTGTGTTTAGCACTAGTTAATAAACTAAGGAAGACTAAGCCTGAGACAGTAGCTGCCTTAAGCCGCCAAGACCAGCCACTCCGTTATGCTTTTAAAAAGTTCCTTCATCCTATTTCAACCTTCTTATTTATGAGACAAATGAATTAGATTGAAGTAACAGCCCTAAAAGCATCAATCTCTTTGGCTTTCACATTATAAGCTGTCTATACAGGCAGAGGCACACGACACACATGGACCCTGAACCAGAGGATCGGGTCCCATGGAACTCAACAGGACTTGTAAGTGCAGCCTTGGAAAATGAATGCTCAACTGACAATGAAAGCCTGACAGCTTGTATCTCATGCACTTTCATCCTATGTTGTCACCTTTAAACACACATGTGCAGGAGGCAAGAGCGGACAGAGACATAGCCACATACATTGGTAAGCACAGGAGTGTGGATTCTCCTTAAGTTATGTCCACCTAAAATAACATGGAGCACATGAATACTGAAAACATTTCAAAATACAAAACCAAATGAGGGTGTGGTACCTCAAGCATCATAGGCCCCAGTGCATCCTTGTCGATGACACCCTGCCCTGTGGATGACACGTCTGACTTCTGCACTTCATCTATGTTGGCAGCTGCTGCTTTCTCTGCAACAAAGGTAAGAGCAAATTAAACAGTGGTGTTATTTCAAGGGTAGGCTAACACCAAACTCTCCAGTGAGGTCAGATGTGCCTGTAAGTGAGTTAGAGTAATCCCATCCACCTCTGGAGGAGAGGAACGTCTGGAAGGAGGAGCCAGATGCCACCTTTTACCCCCAGAACGTGTGTGTCTGATCGATCCCCTTTCTGGCTTTTGAGAAAATGACATTAGAGGCTTCATGCTGGTCCCTAGCAGACACTTTAAAAGTACAGATTGTGAAAACCGCAGTATACTATGGCACAAATAGTTTTTACTCAGGAAATTCTCCAAACTAGCAAGGGGGTGGGGGCGTTTGTTGCTTAGAGTTCAATATCATCATTAGGGACATGCCCTCCACCCCAGAGAAGAAATAACAGAAGCCTTGACCTAAATGTTCAAAGGACTTAATGGCTGAAGGCAGAGGAGGAGCCTCCCCCACCCCAGGTACTCAGAGAATGCCAATGGCCAGGCTTTGACTCTGTACACTGCTGCTGGACAGCACTCCTGGATTTAAATTCCCAGGGCTGAAGACACCATCAGCATGAGACTACTTTGTAAAAAAGCACACAGGAGACAGGATGTGTGGCTATCAATACATGTGTAAATGAGTTCCTTCAAGGATGGTAAAGTAGGTTTACAGCATAACATACATAGCCACAACCTGCTAGAAAACAACACAAAAGCAACGTGCCAAGTACTTGTAAACTGAATAAATTACATCCTTGTTTACACTGCATTTTTCATTATAGTTAAATGCAAAAAATAAAAACTCCAAACCAATAAACTGTAACTCTATTTGGCATTCACAATCAACTTCCTTTTCCATGACTGTAATAACTTTTCTTTTTGGAAAAACAATTTTATACAATATTTAAAAAAATCTGTTAAAGTCTAATTGATGGAACCTAGAAATAAGTAGGAATTATGTAGGTCTGTAAAATCGAGCCACTTTCAGCAGTGCAAAGTCTTCATGATGTTTATTTGCTAGCAGAGAGAAAAGGTGACTATGTAGCTCAAGTTCTACTCCACTATTAGGTCAGACAAAGTCACCCAAGGCCTCAGTTTCAGTTTCTGCCACCTGTACATCATGGCTTGTGTCACTGACAAGTGACACAATATGGAAAACACACTTTAGAAACTACCAAGCTGGTTAGGCAAGATGGCTCAGTGGGTAAAGGCACCTGCCTAACGACTTGAACTTGATATTAGGGACTCAAATGGTAGGAGAGAACCAACTCCCATAATGCTGTTTTCTGAGCTCCATCCTTCCGCATGTACACACACACACACACACACACACACACACACACAACAAAAAACAAAGTTGTTTTTTTTTTTAATACAAAAGTAACTGCTACCAGCATACAGTATTTGCATTTCCTTCTCCTCACTGAGTCTCATGCAGCATTTTCTTCACAGAGCTGACCAACAGCAGAGCACACCTGCTTCTCTGAACAGCTGTATCACCTTCCTGACACACCTTTAAGATCTGAGGCCTATGGCCACCTACAATAGAGATGTGACTTGGTAGTCTCCCTAACTGGGTGCTGTAGGTCTGTTGCCTGAGGCATCTTTTGTTCCCCTCCCTGCTAACTCCCTAGATACTGCCTCCACAGGCTTTGTCTCAACCTGGCAGTCTTCAGAGCAGGAAGCATCCCTCTTCTCAGTCACAGGACAGAGGACCAGCTTACACTACTTATTGTATCAGACTCCCTTGTCCCTGCCAAGTAAACACCAAAAAAATGTTGGTATCCCTACTCTTTATCCTAAATACAGGATCAGCACCTGTGCCAACACATCCCCATATTTCTCAGGGAATACTCAGCTGAAGTGCTGGCCTGTCCTCTGGAGTGCTGCTCATGCTGTGCTGTGCATAGCTCCTAGGAGTGGGCAGACTCCTACACCCATCACCACTTTATAAAGGCTCCTGCAAGCTTCAGACAGTAAGCTCCATGCTTCATCAGTTCTAAAGCTCAAACTCATGAAACTATGCATGCACTGTGGGTTTTCAAGGCCCTCCCTTTGTGTCCGTCTTCAGTTCCCTCTTCAGTGTGGAACAGAGGGTGCTGCTGACCCTTGTTCAGGATGACTACACTGTGGCCTTTCCTGTCTTCCTCACGCCTGGGGTGTATTCCCTACCAGAGATGTCCTCCCCAGAGGACAGGGGGAGCATGGGTACAGCTTGGAAGGCTGCCTTGCATGAGTGTTTTCTACACTTCTAGAGCAGTGGTTCTCAGCCATTCCTGATGCTGTGACCCTTTAATGCAGTTCCTCTTGTTACAGTGACTCCCAACCATAAAATTAATTTTGCTGCTACTTCATAACTATAATTTTCCTGTTATGAATTATAATATAAATATCTGTGTTTTCTGATGGTCTAGGCAACCCCAGTGAAAGGGTAATTTGCCCCCAAAGGAGTTGTGGCCCATAGATTGAGAACCAGTGTTCTAGAGGTTATCTGCATGCTCTTGCCTCCTTCATGGAACAAAACAGAACACTACCTCAATAGGATGCTGCCCCACTGTCCCATTTGAAGACAGATTAATCAGAAAGAGGGCCATATCCATTTAGTCAATGGCCAGCACTGTAGGTCATGTGTGTCACTAATTATTGATGTCTAGCTGACAAACAGGACTCTCCCAGAACAGCGAGAATAGGTGAATTAGAAAGTTGATGGGAATAGGAAATTATTTTCCCCCATTGCTTCCCTAACTCTTCAGCACACAGGCAGAAGACTGGAAAGAGAGGAGATGAGCAGGGCTAAGGAACATGGCTTAGGCTTTCTAGAGAATCAGTTTTAAAGAGAATCATGTGTCTGTACATAGGAAATTTCAATGTCAACTCCTCTCACAGTTCATTCTTCCACTGTTAAGGCTATTTTATTCCTTTTAAATAATGGACCTGGGTTTGGCATACAATTTAGTGGTAAAATATGAGGTTCTGGGTTAGAGAAGGGAAGGAGAAAAGGAGGTAAAGAGAGACACTTGACTGCAATTAATGTTGGGGGCAGAGCGAAAGATGAGGCAACAGCTGCTCATTAAATGGGAACACTGTACCTATCAGTGACAGCTCTACACGGTCAGCCTGTGCTCTTAACTATGAATCCTTTTCTCCAGCCCCTAAAAATTCTTAATCTTCACAACACAATATTTTCTCCTTAAATCCAAGAGAATAAACTACTTGAGTACAAAAATTACTGCTGAAGAAAAAGACCCTCAAATTTATGTTACCACGAAGGTTAGGTACTTTTCTCACTGTTGTGACAAAAATACCCAACAAGAAAGGACAGTTTAGTTTACTATCTGAAAGTCTGTCCACACAGGAGAGGGCAGTGACCAAAGCTGGAGGAGCCTGAGGCAGCTGGCCACACTCCACAGTATAGAGGAGTGGGCACTCAGTTGCTTTCTACTTTTTAAAAAATTGCTTGTTAGAAAACCTACACCTATTGTCCTGTGAGATTCTGATATCACAAAAAGTGTGAATTATTGCTTTCTGTGGGGTCTGTACTATTGTTGCTTTAAGGGTCAAATGAATATATCTTAGTGATCTTTGTGATAGCTGTCTTTAATGTAATCACTAGACTTTATGCGACACACATATCTACAGGATATGATCTCTTTTTAAGGATGTAATTAATCTATTAGTAGTTTTGTGTAATTTACACAACTTTCCTGATGATAACTTAATCAAATGGTGACTCCCAACACTTATAAAACCTCATGCCTGTATGCTGTGGATGTTACAGCCACATGCTCAGGAAGAGCATTTCATACCTTCAGGAAAAGACACAGACATACAAGAAGTCAAGAGCGAATCAGCACAGAAGTTTGTTTTTAGGGGCTTATCAATCAGACATAACCTGGGACAAGGGCAAGGAGCTGACTTAGCTCCAATAATCTGTGTGTACAAGACTTCTGGAAAGCTTGGAGAAAATTAAGTATTACCCTGAAAACCGTTTGCAATAACAAAGTATGCTATGTTTTCACCATATAATATTCAACTGTTAAATCTTTAAAAGGAAAAAGGCAGCATGAAGTGCAGGGTTACCTATGGGCTGCATTCAGTGGCCTTTAAGTAGGTGAGTGTCAGGAAGTATCAAGAACCACCCTCATTGGCCAAGAGCTCACACTGCCAGCAGGAGGGCAAAACAGGTGCCATTCAACAGAACTGGAAAATGGAGAGCTGAGCTGCAGGGAACCAATTTTAATTCAGAGAAGAAAGGAATGACTGGGCACAGCTGAACCCAGTTCATGTATGTTGAGACTGGGTTGGATTCTGGGGGACGTGCATGTGGATGGGTGATATCAGGTTGCAAGAAGTCTCAGGAAGGCCTTGAAAAACCTCGTCCCTCACAGTCTTTTGTGTGCAGTCCTCGCTGTAGTGGAACTCACTCTGTAGACCAGGCTGGCCTGGAACTCACAGATATCCACCTGCCTCTGCCTCCCAAGGGCTGGAATTAAAGGTGTGCACCACCGCTGCCCACCCAAAAACCAATATTCTTAAGTGTCATCAAATACCTTAAACTAGAGTTCTAGCAAGTGATGAACAAAAATGAAACAATAATTTCCCAAGATAAGGCTGCAGTTCTGTTAGTGGAACATGAGACTTGAAAGAAAACCCAGAAGATATACAGAGAAATGGCAAGGGAAGTTATGCTGAGGAGTGAGAACTTTTCATTGCTCCCCACCAGATAAATGAAGCCAGCAGTAAGACCCCAGCCTCTCAGGCCTACACTGGGGAGAGTGCTGGGAACACATTCATCTTCTACATATACAATGTGCTATGTGTTCTTCATTTCTGCACTGAATTTATGCTTGGGCCACTTCTCCAGAGTGAAATGAAAAGTAACCAATAGAGGGAAGTGATACAAAACATCCAGAAACATGGCCTTACTAACTCCATTGGAATCAAAATCAAGCTAGTCCTGAGTTTACAGTATTTGGGTACTTCTGTTCAACGTCCAGGTCAG